TAAAGGTGGTAACTAACACCTTAAAACGCACTCGGAAGACCACTGGTAGCCAGTGCAGCTCACGCAGGAGCGGTGTTACATGGGAGCGACGAGTCCCTCCCAACACCGCCCGCGCGGCCGCATTCTGGACCAGTTGAAGTCTCCGGGTGCTCCTCAAAGGGAGCCCCATGTAGAGGGCATTACAGTAGTCCAGGCGGGAAGTGACGAGAGCTTGAGTGACCGTGCGCAAAGCGTCCCGGTCCAGAAAAGGACGCAACTGGTGGATCAGGCGAACCTGATAGAACGCCCCCCTGGTCACGGCCGACAAGTGATCTTCCAGTGTCAGCCGTGGATCCAGGAGGACGCCCAAGTTGCGTGCCTTCTCTGAGGGGGCCAAAATTTCATGGAATGTGCAACCATCTGGCTTGTACTGGAATGTTATTTACCATCCATGTTGTTAGAAGAAAAAGGACAAGCACTAGAATTTGGAAATTGCTGATATTGGATCAGTGACCTTACTGATGCCTTTCTTCTTGAGTCCGAAAGTAAGACCCGGTCTTACTTTCTTTTGGGCTCTGAAATAAACACTAAGACTTACTTTCGAGTAGGGCTTACTTTTTGCTGGTACCAGCAAGCCGCAAGCGCGGGGGGGGCAGGGCGGGGCCTGTGCATGGGGTGGAGATGAAATGCAGTGACGAGATGGTGGCGATGGACCAAGTATCTGGGCAGATGGGGCGTGTTCCCTCCCGCGCTAGACCAGCCTCTGCAACCCTGAGGCGGCCGTGCTGGGCGATGGCGGGAAGAGCGCCGAGGTGGTGGCGGCCAGGCTGATGCTCCTCAAGCTTGAGCAGGTGGCCTTTGCCCCGGGGACCTGGGGAGGCCGCCTTCCTGGGCTGGCCAGTCCCTCCTCAGAGGTGAGCGGGGAGGTGGTAGCCCAGGATAAAAGCGCCAGGTGAAGCACCTATCAGCGCCCGTGCTGGCTGCCCCTTCTCCGTGCAGGGAAACAAAAGAAAGCTCAATCAATTTCAAGTTCTCTCACACACAAAAATCTTGCGAAGTTGGGATTGATTGACCTTCCTCTCCCAAAACCTCTTGCTTCCCTGCATGCGGCAGCAGAGAAAGGTGAAGGAGAAATGGGGCGGGGCCAGAAGTCCCGTAAGCAAAGACATGCAATTCCTGGGGGAAGCGAGGGCATCTGGGTGGTGGTGTGGCAAGCTCTCCATCTCCACGGGGAAACAGCAATCGGCATGGGCGCTGAAGGCAGGATGCCCGCTCGCTTGAGCACTCTCACAAAGAAGGCGGACTCCCCAGATCCCCAGGATAAAGCCTCCCCCTCCAGGTGGAGAAGCGTCAGCCTGGCTACTCCTACCTCAGCGTCCTTCCTGCCGCCGCCCATCACGGCCACCCCGGGGCTGCAGAGGCTGTCCTAGCAGGGGAAAGGCACGCACCCCGCCCGCCCACACAGGTACTTGGTCCACGAAACAAGCCCAGTGGTGGTAAGGAACCAGTATACCATTGGTTAACAGGGCACGTGGATCAGATCTGCCTTCCCCTACCAGCTTTGCCTCGTCGTAGAGGCACTGGTATGTGAAAATGCCCCAGAAGATACCCCAGAACAAGACTGGGAGAGTGGGGCACATTATAAGAATGAGAGAAGAAATTCTCCCTAGTGTTCCAGAGGGGAGGGGACAAATACTTTCAGAGCTGCTGGATTTTGTCTTATGGCCTCACAGTAGAGGTAGAGCTAGTATTCATTCGTGTGCATTTTGTTTGGAATAGCTCAAAGGGCTGACAAATGGTTCCTCCAATCAGGATTCCCAGACCTGGAATGCGGACCTCAACCCTGTATGCAAGTTGACTTCTGTACCCAACAATAGCCCTTCCCAAGGAAACACTCAGAAAGATAGAGATATAAAACTTTTCCACAAGCACAAAAACCTCCAGCCTGCTTTGTCCTGCAACAAGGAACAGAGTAAGAATTGGCCAGGTGACTCCAGAGGAAGAATGATCCAAAATGCACAGTGCTATTTGGTGGTTCCCAGAGATCCCTTCGGACTAGTTTAACTGCAGGGCTGTTCCTCCTCTGCCTTTAAAGATGTTTAGATGTCGGATTCGGAGGGAAGAGCTTCAGGAAGGAAGATGTAAAGGAGACATCTAACTGGTGCCCACTAGCCGGCTTCTTGTCAGTAGAAACCATCAACGGCAGGAGGGGCATCTTTTCTCAGTCCAGAATCATACATTGCCCTGCTGGTTTTCTTGGATGCCCCCCTCACCCAAGGGGAGTTGTACGAAGGAAAATGTGGTGGCCTTTGAACGTACAAAGGAAAATGTAGCCTTTTTCATTTTTGGAAAAGGCTGAGGAGTGATCCTTGAGACTGGTCCTGTCCACAAACGATGAGGGGGGAAGCAGTCCCCCAAGAGAAAAGTGTGTCTGGACATAGGGCAGGGCCCTGCCGCTGGGCAGGTGATCAGTGGGGCGAAGCATGGAGAAAGCTGCTGCTGCTGTGCACACAGCGGCAGTGGAGCCCAGGCCTACTCCACCCATCCACTGTACGGTAGCATGGCAGTCCGGCTCGGGAAGGGAGTGAAAGGGAGCAAGGAATAGCCTGGCTGAGGGATGCTTGAAGGAAGTGGGTGTGGGGCGCGTGGGGCAGCTCCATTCGCCCCTCCACCTTCCTCGCCTCATGGTGGCAGTGGCACGATTGTCACGCGCCTCCTGCCCCATTGCGGCAGGCAGGTTGGACGGAGGGGCCCGGGTGCTAATTAGAGCTTATTTTTGGAATAGGGCTTATATTAAAAGATAACTTAGTCCCCAACGAGATTGTGAGGGTGACGGGGCAATGGAAGAATTGCAGAAGAAACTCCCTAATTTTTTCAGAGTAAAAGGAGAGGAGGGAAGAAATATTTGCAGAGTTTTAGGATTTTGTATTGTGGCCTCACAGTAGAAATAGCGCTAGTATTCATTCTAGTGCTTCTTGTCTGAATTTAGCTCAAAAGGCTGACAAATGCATCCTCTAGTCAGGATTC